CTTCTGACGTGGCGTGACCACGATCCCCCGCCCCCATGCCACACTCCCCCGCGACCACCGGTCAACCCTCTTATCTGTTTCCCTCCAGCCTGGTGAGTTAGTCAATCCCGCCTTTCTTGCTGCTCCAGCTGCAGCTCTGACTTCGGACAAATCCTTGCACCCCTGGAATCTCCGACGGCGGCGACAAATCTTCTCCGACAGCCCCGCGAATACCGCTGTTGCCGCCGCTCCCAACCAAATGGTCACCGTCGCAACAGACGCCGCCGCGGAGCCGATGAGCCAATGGGAAGAGGAGTTCCTGCAGCAGCTCGAACGTTCCATGGTTGATTCTCGCGGAAGACTCGTGGAGTCGCTTATGGACAGCACTGTAAAATCGAGCTCATCGGGATCCCGTACCAACAAACAAGGCTTGTTGATTCGCCCGCGGAGCCGGAGCCAGGATAGGGCGTCTCAGCAAAGGCGGTTGTCTGCTCAGGTCCCTGAGGCCCCTAGGCGCGCTGTGAGCCATGGCGGTGGGCTGACACGATCCCGCAAGCTGTGGCAATGGCTGCTGAACGGTCCATCATCTCCTAACGATTAAGCCTTACTTGTTGGTTTGTTCTTATTTTGTTTTTATGTTGTTCTTAGTTGATGTACCTTTTATTAAGATAATGCTCTCAATTCAGATGTGTTAGGGCGGGTCCCGAAAGTTTGTAAGCAGTTTCGGGACCCGGTTTGACGTAAAACAACACGTACAGCTGCGCGGTACACATACGCCCAGGTACGTGAAAACATTACTCCGAAATAGTCCGAATTCCAAAAGGCTGACAGAGACTCGCGGTTCTACAGTGCCGCGACTTGCAGTCCAGATCTCGGCCTGTTACCAGGTCCACATTGCCGCGAAACCCAATTACCTCGCGAAATGTGTGTAACTCTTGAGGGGGGGGGGAAACTCCCGAACAGATTGGGACATCGAGACGCACTGCGGTCTCGCTGTAGGGGGCACACGACAAAATGTGTCTTCGCTGAATCTGGAACTCTTCGCTTCCTGTTCTTTTTGTTTAAAACCCGCAGGCCAAGAAGGCCAAATTTGGTTCATCCTTCCTAGCGTTGGTTGGATGTCCCAAAAATGCCTGTGATCATTCCCGAATTCTAGACCTCGTCCAACATTTCGGACACTCCTATTGGTTCGCAGGCCTTTTGCGTTTTCACTCCCAACCAACTTTCCTAAGGTTGAAATTCTAGCCTGCGGGTTTTAAGGTACTCTTTCTCTCGATGTCTGTACAGAACATAGCCCAAGTTTAACATCGCGTCAGTAATTTTCGTACAGCCTGGCGCCGTGTCCAGACGAAAGGGTTGGCGAGTGGCGAAAAGTCAGATTGTGGTTACTTTTCACCTGATGAAATGTAAGTGTACTTTCGGGACCCGCCCTTAGCAGGCACATTCAGATGTGCATTGTGGAAGCCTGCAAAAATGTTTCGTCCGTCTTGCAAAAATTCCATTCCCAGCTTGAACATCGCCACTCAATTCGCTAGCCGTCGCTCACAGACGAAATTCGCATCCCGTTCCAATCCAACAGCTGTGTGATTTGCATCTACACAACCACAATGAACCAAAACAACAGTTGTTTTATCAAGAGACACTCAAAATCCATTTTTTGACGGAGCTTTCCTTGCGAACTGACACTCCATGGCTGAAACCACATCCTCGATCTCTTTTGGCCATGTAGACAATCTCCCTGACGAGATACTAGCTCTTATTCTCCGCCTCGTATCATCGCGCAACCCATGTCAGTTTTACCATGCGCTCGCCTGCAAGCGATGGCTGCGCGTCTCACGCCTCGTGCAAACCACCGTCCACGTGGCAGAAGGCCGACGACTCTCGGCATCGCACCTCCTCCGCTCCCTCTCCCACTTCCCTAATCTCACGAGTCTCCATCTCGCAAAGCGTAGCGTCGACGTCACGGATTGCAGTTTTTTCCGCGAGCTCGGTTGCTGCTGCTTCAGTAGTTATCTCACCTTCCTCCACCTCGACGAAATCAAAACCTCGATATCATCTCCCCAACCCAGCTTGTCCACCAGCAGCAGATTGCCTACTACTACCTGCGATGTAGTTTCAGGCCTCGATTCTCTCTTCCAAGCTTGTGTAAAATTGAATGACGTATCGCTCTCTCTCCGTTCGTCCATCTCGTTTCCGACTTCCCTTTTCCGTTTAAACCGGCTCTCCCATTTACGACTCTCCGTTAACGGTTACAGTTCCTTACCGAATGACTTCTCCCGTCTGGCGTCATCTCTCAAATCCCTCGAGCTTATATCTTACGGGCTAGAAAGGCTACCCGAAAACCTAGGAGATTTCTCCTTGCTGCAAGAACTGACCCTGTCATCATGCAGCAAACTGCGCTCCCTTTTAAAACTCTCCGCACAGCAGCTGCCCAGTCTCCGTTTGGTTTCCCTTGACTGCCCAAATCTCGCCAATCTGCCCGAGAATCTCTGCAAATTGCCATCTCTGACCACCTTGAAAGTCTCCTCCTCAAGAATTCCTTTGCTGCCCGAGAATCTAGGCGAGCTGCACTCGCTAAGGCAATTAGAACTATCTAGTCTCTACTGTCTACCGCACTTGCCACTATCCCTGGGAAACCTTGAGAACCTGGAAACATTAAGGATCAGCCAATGCTACTCTCTGGCATATCTTCCAGATTCCCTCTCCTTCCTCCCCAACATCCACACCCTCTCCCTGATCGGCTGTCCGGCGCTTGCCTCCTTGCCAGATACTTTCGGTCAGCTGCCCGGGCTGAAAACATTGGAGCTGGTGGGATGCAGGAAATTTCTGCAGCTGCCCGAGTCACTGACAGCTCTGCAGGCACTAACTCGTCTTGTGATTCAAGCATGTGACAATTTTCAGTCTCTGCCCGAGAACATCGGGCACATGAAGGGGCTGAGAGATCTCGAAATTTCTGCAAACGATTGCATCAGGGAGATCCCGGCAACACTTCTTCTCCTCTCTCAACTCGAGCGCTTGTCAATTTCAGCCTGCCAGAATCTTCAATCCTTGCCCAACGGCCTGGGCAGCGAAAAGATGAAGAACCTGACGCACCTGGAACTCTTGCATCTCCCATGCTTACCTGGGCTGCCAGGGAACTTAGGGAAGCTTCCAAGCATCCAGGAGGTTCGGCTGAATGGTTCCAATCTGGTCAGGCAGCCACAGCTTCGGAAGTCATTCTACCCAAAGCCAGCCTCCTCTTGGGTGACCGTTGGTCCTCTTGCCTGGATCTCACAGCGACCTGTTTCTGAAGCCTCACCTCCTCCGCGCCTCTTTTCAATCATTCCTCCTGGTGGCGCGGGACTAGGAGATTGGATAATTTGGCCTTTCGATTGAGTGACTGGACAAGGTTTTTGAACTCATCCTTAGCTTCTTCTCGACAGGCTGGCTGGTGCCACTCCTCATCTGCAAGCGATCTCCTTCTTGCCTGGCTCTCCCGCTTTCCCAGTCTACTCAGCCCCCAATTGGCGAATCAGAGCATGGCATGTGTACCTGCGACAACCTTCCACCGCCTCTGCCAAGCCTATTGGGGTCTAGTCAGCCTCTCGCTGCCTAACCTCAGCCTTGGTTTTGAATTTACTGAGACCAGACATCATGAACTGTCTCAGTAACAAGCATACGGTATTGGTACGCTTGGGAATGTGGTTCGCCTTACCATACCTCTGCAAAGTACCAGTATGTAGACGATTCATCACTATTGCAGCAGCCTGACCTGGAATCTTTGTCAGAAACCAGTCCAAGAGTGCACAGCAGTACAGCAGTGCATTACTGTCCGACTGGCCTCTGCCACCTCCTTACTTCAATGGTTGCCCCCTGCCTCGCATGTCTTGCCCATGCGCCCTTGGTCTTGTGGAATCTGGAGTTTGATTAACTTCCTATGCCTTTGAACGATTGAAGGTGCCGCCTGAGAGCCCAGAAGCCCAGGACTGTAATCACCAAGAGAATGTACATACCGTAGCGACTCTTCTTCACGCGCGGCGGGTCTGTTTGTGACTGAAAGAGGGGGGGTTGTATGTGGGTGTGCGTGCGTGTGTGTGTGGGTGTGCACGCGCGCACGCGTGTGCATTCTTATGACCTGCCATAATCCTATTTTCATTCACATGATACATGCACAAACTTGTGCAACTAACGAATCCAGCTTGAACGAAGCACTGACGAATCCTAAAACCCAAAACTCCTCATCACGTTCACCATTCAAACGCCACCAATTTCATCTCCCCCTCATTCATTTCTCGTCTGCTGTTTCTTTCCGATGGCGGCCAATCTGGTCTCTACGACGCCGCTAGGCATTTTTCTCAGCAGGATCCCCTGCAAGTCTATTTCTGATAGTAAAGCCTTACGCAAGACTGACTTATTCCCCTCAATCCCTTCGATCGCCGCATTCCCCGCACATTCCTTCCCTCCAAACTTGCCAAATGCAAGCGTTTTTCCGCTCAAGGTAGAATCTCTTGCCGCTCAAAGCGAAGGGCAAGGATTTTCCGACCAGTCGCGATCCAACGGTGACGGGCGGTTTGGCGCGCGCGGGGAACGAGACGGGAGCGATGGACCGGGATACACCCCCCGAAGGTCTCCCCTCGATAATGCTGGTCGGGGATGGGAAGGGGGAAGGTCGGCCGGTAGGGGAAGAGGCGGACGGAGTAGTGGGGGAAGCAGGGGTGGCGGACGGGCGGTGGGAAGAGGGGGAGGCGGAAGGGGTTATGACGAGCGGACGGCTTGGAAGCGGGAAGGGGGAGAGGATAGAGGCTATGCGCAGGGTAGAAACGACGCTGATTATAGCGAGGATGATTATAGTGGCGGAGAGAAAGGTTCCTTTAATTCCGGAACGCGATCGGATGACGACAAGCCGCCGCGGACGCTCTTAGACGTGCCGGATCGCGTTCGGAGGGGATTAGGTACATCTCAATCAGGCCGTACGTATTTAGAGACGTCTCAATCGACGGCGTACGATCGGCGGGGGCGAGGCGGTGGCAGTCAGCGTGGCAATGCCCCGCCGTACGGAAGCAGGCCGTACGGGTCAAAAGACGCGTACGAAGGGCGATCGTACGGCCGAGATCGGTACAATTCCGGCGGGAGTGACGGGGAGCGCAGACCTGCGGGGAGGGCTCTTGGGCGTGGGCGAGGGCGGGAGGGGGGATGGGCAGGGGAAAGAGGCGGGCGCGGAGAAGCATGGGGTGGGGAACGACGCGGGGAGGAAGGAAGGCGTGCGGAGAGGGTTCCCACGGAGGCCAGGGGGCGGGGGAGAGCATGGGGCGGAGGACGAGGTGGGCGCGGGGCGCGAGGCGGGAGGGGGGAGATATGGGGGACGAGCTCCAGAGGACGCGGGGAAGCAAGGGGGAGCGGGAGGGGAGAGAGGGGAAGAGCGGCGAAGGCGTGGAGAGGAGCAGCGGGGAGCGCCGTAGCAAACTCAGACTCTCAGCCGACGAAGGGGCGGTGGGGCCCACGAAGCGCACAGGGCGCACGGGGCGCATGTGGCGACGACGACGAAGGTTCGAGGAAAGAGAGCCAGCCTAGTTTCTCTCCGTTTACGTATGGATATTACCAGCCGGGGCAACCAGCTGCTGACGAATGGGGTTTGTGGGGGGAAGATGGGCCAGATGGGGAAGGAGAAGAAAAAGGGGAAGTAGGAGAAGTAGGGGTAGGAGTCGAAGGAGATGAGGGGTTTTGGGGAGGGGCGGAGGAGGGGGAGGAGGAGGAGGTGGAGGAGGAGAAGCCTTTGCCACGGGCAGCTGCAGGCAAGAGTTTTGAAGACAAGGGTTTTGCAGCCAGGAGTTTTGCTTCCGCTGATAGCACACCCTTGGAAACGGGCGCGAGGGGTTTACGAGGGGAGCTGCGCCAGGGTCTAAAGGAGGGTTTAAAGGAGGGTTTTGAGGGGATTGAGGGGGAGGGGAGCGGGGAGGAGTGGCGGAGGCGGAAGGTGGGGTGGCTTGCGCGGGAGGTGGCAGCGGTGGTGCCGAGTGCGCTGGTGCGGCTGCTGAACGCTCAGAAGCAGTGGATGAATATGGGCGACCTAAACGCTGTAGTGGGGAGCCTTATAGCGAGGAAGGAGGTGGTGCGCGGGATACGGGTGAGTGAGATGCATGGCTAGGCATCGGCATGAATCACACATCCTAAACCTGAATCAGAAACAGAAACCTTAAACCATGGAAATCTCAAAATCATAAACCATGAGCTGAATTATCCCCTTACTTGAGGTGGCAGCAGTGGTGCCAAGTGCGCTGGTGCGGCTTCTGAACGCACAGAAGCAGTGGATGCGCATGGACGACCTGAACGCTGTAGTGGAGAGCCTTATAGCGAGGAAGGAGGTGGTGCGCGGGATACGGGTGAGTGGGAAACGCTGTTGGGTGGCACTAGGCATTAGCATCAACTGAGGATTCAGCCATATGCCAACCATATCTATGAATCATAAAGCAGAAACGAAAATCCATAAACCAGGAACCAGAGAATGGAAAGAAGGTAACTTTTTATCTCTTCTATTTCTCCGCCCCCTTGTCTTCTCCCAATTCCTTTCCCTACTCCTTACCCCCTTTCTCCCCATTTCCCCCTCACAGGTCTTCCAGTGGGCGCTGCATGCGCCCTTAAAATGTATATATATATATATATATATATATATCTTCGTTTATATCTCCGTTTCGTTGCCTTCCCCCATTCCTTTCTCTCCTTCCCCCCACCCCCCCCCTCTCCCCCTCACTCCTCCCGTTCCCCTTTTCCGCCCTTGGCCCCAATTCCCCCCCACACCACAGGTCTTCCAGTGGGCGCTGCATGCGCCCTTTTATGAACATATCTCTTTTCCTCTTTTATATCTCCATTCTCTTGCCTTCCCCCATTCCATTTCCTTTTTCCCCCATTCCCCCTCCCCCTCCCCCTCCCTCCTCTTCCCCTCTTCCCCCCTTGCCCGCCATTCCCCCCCACAGGTCTTCCAGTGGGCGCTGCACGCGCCCTTCTTCTCCCCCTCCGCCTCCCCCCCCATCCTCTCCGCCCTCCTCCTCCCCGCGGCCGCCCAGGGGAAGATCCGCCACATGCTCCCCCTCCTCTCCTCTGTGCCCCTCTCTCCCTTTCTCTCATCCAGTCCCCCATCCCCTTCCCCTCTCCCTCCCCCCCCCCCGCCCCATTTTCTGCCCTTGTTGTCCCTCTCCTGGACTTGCCCCGTTCCCCCCGTTCCCCCCAACAGGTCTTCCAGTGGGCGCTACATGCGCCCTTCTTCTCCCCCTCCGCCTCCCCCCCCATCCTCTCCGCCCTCCTCCTCCCCGCGGCCGCCCAGGGGAAGATCCGCCACATGCTCCCCCTCCTCTCCTCCGCGCTCCCCCAGGGTGTTTCGCCATCTCGCCCTGCTTTTGAAGGGGTAATCCGGTCGTTGCTCCTCGCCGCAAAACGGGCGGAGGAATGGAAATGGGAAGGGGGGAAGGGAGGGGCGCGTGGGGGGAAGAGCGGGGGGAAACGGGGAGGGGGAAGGGCAGGGGGGAGAGGAAGGGGAGGGGAAAGTGGAGTCGAGGAGGAGGGGGATGGGATTGGGACGAGAGGCATGGGGAGGAGGATGAGGGAGGAGATGGTGAGACTGGAGGAGAGTGCATGGGAGGTGTATGGTATGATGCATGGCTTGGGAGGGAGCTCGCAAACAGCGCTACCACTACCATCAGCAGAGGGACAAACGCCCCAAGCAGCAACCAACCCCCTCGCAGACTCCATACCCTCCTCTCCCTCCTATCCCTCCTCCCCCTCCTCCCCCTCCTCCCCCTCCTCCCCCTCCTATCCCTCCTCTCTCTCATCTCCCTCCTCCCCACCTTCCTCGAAGCTTCTCTACGAGCTATATGACGCGTTCAGCCGCCCATCCGCCCGCGGCCGCCACGTCAGCAAGCTGGAGCAGCTACTTAAAGACCTATCATCCATAGGAGCCCCAATAACCCCCCTCATGCACTCGCGCTTAGCACAGCAGCTCGCCTGCCTGGGAGATATCGACAAAGTCGACGCGCTTTTAGCTAAGATGCGATTAGCTAAGCTCCCGATACCAGCTGCTGCTCTAGAAGCCGCTGTGATTGCTTGTGCTCGGGCGTACCACTCGCAGGGTCCTCTCGGGCAGCAGGGAAATTTTGGCCCAGGCGGCAGAGAAGTGTTTGGGGTGCTGACGGGCCTGCCTGAGCGGGCAGCGAGGGGAGTGAGGGAGGTGGAAGAGGCCGGGTTTCGGCCGAGCCAGGAAGTATCAGTGGCTTTAATGGAAGTGCTTAGTAAAGCGCAGAGATACAGAGAAGCAGTGAGTGTATGGCCGAAGGTGGTTGAAGCAGCCGAAGCTGCTGCTTCTGCTGCTGTTGCTGCTGGTTCCGCTGCTGGAGGTGCCGAAGCTGCTGGTTCAGCGGACAGGTCCGGCGCCGGACCGGTGCGGCAGGCTCGGCCAAGCCTGCGGGCGTATAATGTGTATGTGGAGGCGTTGAGTGGGGCGGGAGAGGTGGAGGCGGCAGAGGGTGTGGTGAGGGAGATGGGTGAATGGGGCATGAGGCCACTAACGAAGGGGTTCAATGCGGTGCTGAGGATGCATGTGAGGCTGGGCATGGGTGTTGATGCTGGTTCGCCGGATTTGCCAGCAGCAGTACCATCAGCAGCATCACCACCACCATCACCACCAGCAGCAGCAGCAACACCACCATCAGCAGCATCACCAGCAGCAGCAGCAGCAGCAGCAGCAGCAGCAGCAGTAGCAGCAGCAGCAGCAGCAGCAGCAGCAGCAGCACCATCACCATCGGCGGCAGCAGCAGCAGCAGCGAGGGATGCAGCAGTGCGTGTGTTCACTGAAATGGCTGCCTTTGGATGCCCCGCCAGCACTGAGGCGTGCAACCTGCGCCTGCAGACGCACCTGCTGGCACGTGACTGGCAGGGCGTGTGGGAGCTGTATGGCGGGATGAGAGGCGCTGCAGAGGGGGGTGTGAGAGGAGCGGGAGAGGGAGGTTTTGGAAAGGGAGGAGAGGGTGGATTGAGGGGAGTGAGGGGGATGGTGCGAGGAGGGAAAGGGGTAGCAGAGAGAGGGACACGAGGAAGGGGTAAGGGAGGGAGGGAGGGGAGAGGGGAGTGGGAGGAGAGTGATGAGGAGTGGGAGAGGCATGGGTGGATGAGGAGGGAGGGGAGGGGGGCGAATGATGACTGGGAAGCAGAGGAGGAGGAAGAGGAGGATAGTGAAGAGGAGGAGGATGATGAATCCGATGGCGAGGATATGGAGGAAGAGAGAAGGGGGCAGGAGCAGGAGGAGGAGGAGACAGTAGCAGCAGCAAGGGCGAAGGAGGCTGCAGAATCAGCGGTAAACTCAAGAGTGTTGCCTCTTAACTCGGAACCAAGGCTGCTGCCTGTGCCGAGTCCCCCCAACCAGCGCACGTATGACCTGCTGCTGCTGGCTCTGGCAGAGGCTGGGGATGTGGGGGGGGTGGAGAGAGTGTATGAGGACATGCTGAGAGAGGGGGTGCGCGGTGGGGTGAGGAAGGGAGGAGGGGAGGGAGAGGATGGTGAGGAGGGCGAGGAGGGAGAGGAGGGTGAATGGGAGGGAGAGCGTGAGAATGAGGTGGAGGAGGCTGGTGGTGGGATATTTGGGGCCGTCAGTAGAAGGGGAGAGGGAGGAAAGGTGAGAGTGGAAGGTGCGGAGGGGAGTGAGGGTGAGAAGGGAGGAGGAGGGGTGGTGAGGGCGAGGAGGTTCAGCCTGCAGGGGCGAGTGAGGGAGGCGGTAGAGCGACTGCTGGGGGTGGATAGAGTGAGAAGGGACGAAGCATGGGCTGCTGCTGTGGCAGCCCGAGGGGGATCGGCAGCAGCAGCAGCAGCCTTCTTTGGAGGAGCAACAGCAGCAGGAGAAGGAAGAGGAGGAGGAGGAGGCGGCATGGGTGGCACGGGGAGAGGCTGGGAGACGGGAGTACCAGGGGAGGGGGATGTGGCGATGGGTCTCAGGCTGACGAGGGAGCAGCGGCAGGTGCTGGTGGGGGCTCTGCTAGCAGGGGCAGAGGTGGAGAGTGCAGATGGTGGCGTGTCGTACTCGATAAGATTCTCCTAGCCTATTGGAGTGGGCGGCGAGGATTGGCGTATGCGGGTGCTGGACTGGCTGTATGAGGTGTTCCTTCCCTGGGTGGCTGCGCCGCCGGTAGATGTGATTGTAACGGGGGGAGAAGTTGGGGAAGTCGAAGCGGTGGATGTGACTGTGAAGGGGGGAGAAGTTGGGGAAAGCGAAGCGGTGGATGTGACTGTGAAGGGGGGAGAAGTTGGGGAAGGTGAGGGGGGGGATGTGGGGAAGGAGGCAGAGGGTGGGAAAGGTGGGAGGGGCACCATTCGGGTGCGTACATTCGCCACCATTGCGCACCCGTCTCTGCAGTTCTACGCCCGACAGTTTCGTCCCCTAGCGAAGGATGTGGCTGGCAAACGGGGCGGCAGAGAGGCGGCGGTTCCTCGTCTTATTCATCGGTGGCTGTCACCCCGAGGCATGGCGACGTGGCTCATGTATAATGGGTGGGCTATTAGAGGGGATGGAGGCAAGGGAGGGAGAGAGGTAGGGGGAGAGGGAGGGGGAGAGGGGGTGGAGGCGAGGGCTGAAGAGGCGAAACAATCCGCAAATAACAAGGGTGGTGGTTATAGCCTGGTTTTTGGAGCAGAGGGGTATTCGGCCAAGGAGGCGGCACTGGTTGTTGCGGCGGTGGGTGCGAGAGTAGAAGATTGTGCATGGAAGAAGGGAACTGGGGGGAAGAATAATGCCATGAGGTTCAGTGGATTATCTGTGCAGGTGCTTTGGCAGGCCATGGAGCCATATGTGGTGGAGGAGGCGGGATGCGCTTGGTCCTAAATGAATCAATACTTTTCTGTGTGGAATGTTTGTTTTTTTCCTGGTTGATTCATAATGGTCTAACTTCCTAACTTCGGTAAAATGAATTTTGTAAACTGGTCCGTTCCTGATTTCGCGAAAAAAATATTTTCGCGGAGATCCAAGGCCACACACATTAGGATTGAGGAGATTTCGTCCATCCAATCAAGATTGACGACGACAACCTTCCACCGACACATTTATCGCGACTCGCGCGAAAAGCTGAACGATGATGGCCGCACACACCACTACACACACACACACACACACTCCCCTTCCCACAGAAATACGAAATGCGTTTCAGTACGGTTCGTATTGTTAAAGAACGGTCTAATCAAACCTTACAACTGTTGAGTAGGGCAGTGAGTGAAAACGAACTCAAGCCAACTCTTTTGTTATACAACCTGACCACCGCTATTTTCACGCCCCCAAATCACACTCACGTGGGTAACTACCCTGAGAGTTTCTGAGACCAAGGGTTGTGTACAACAAAGTTATAGGTAGTGTTTCGGACTCCTCACACGGGTTGGATGTCGCAAAAGGGCTCTCAACCTAAAAACAGCATTCGCGTGAGTGGATAGTAAATCCCCGCTCCATCCGCGTGTTTTTGGGACATCGAACAGGAGAGTCTGATTCGTACACCCTAGATCCTGAGCGTCTCGATCGATATTGCCGAAAATGGTCCCGGGTGCCACTGAAAAAACGTTTTGGCACGTGAAAATAGCGGTGGTCAGGTGTACATTCTGGTCCCATCCCAGCTTTGACTGCCTCCCTGATTCGCCAAAGCTGACGCCATAGATTCCTTCGCGGCGCGTTGCGATCCGTCGCCGCTGCGTGCAGCACGGGGCTCTTATTCTCCGTACGATTCCCACTCCTTAACGCGGCTGACGTGAGCCACGTGTGCGCGCTGAAGGAATGGCTGGTGGAGGTGACGTCAGCAATGGCAGCAGTCCGATCAATCACAGCCGTCCGAAGGACGGCTATGCTGCCGGTCCGCCTTGGATTTTCAAAGGCAGGTTAGTAAATGACGTCAAGCATCGATATTGACCTCAATGTAAAGGTTAAGCTGCCGGTCCGCCACCGAACTGAGCTGGTCGCTCGGGTGCATTCCTTAAAAGGTGAGTAACCCGTAACCGGAGTGTAGCTGGAGGGGAGGCAAAAGGAGGGAGGAGAGCGGGTGGGGGGGAGTGAATGGTGATAGAGGCACAGCGGAGCATTCCTCGGAGCTGGTCGCTCGGGTGCATTCCTTAAAGTTGAGTGACCCGTAACCGCGAAAGGTTGCGCTACGGAGCCAACATGTCCCTTCCGAGTTTCTGATCGCCGCGAATCACTTTCGAAAGTGATTTGAGCGTAATCTCACTTGGCTTCTGTGGCTCGTCAACGTCGGTCTGCTCGTTTGGTTCGCATTTTCACACGAGGAAGAATCGAGAAGCTTCTCGCACGAAACGACTTATCGTAATTTCTCCATGCAGGCGGCCCCCTCCCCCCCTCCCCCTCCTCCCCCCCCCCCGCTCCCCACTATTGTCACACTCAAGGCGCAATATCCGTCGTCAATTACTCCCGCTATTGTCACTCTCAGGGCGCTGTATCAACTGAACCTGGTCAAGGCTGACGTGGCGCGCCGCGTCGTTCCTCCGGAACTCAAGCTCGTTGAAGTCTTCGGGTGGGTGCTGTAGGTTGTAGAGTGGTAATTTGGGTCTTAGAGTGGTGCTCTGGGTCTTTGAGTGGTGCTTGTGGTCCTAGCGTGGTTCTCTGGATCGCAGAGCGTTGCTTTGGGTAGTAGAACGGTGCTCATAAATTGTTGAGTGGGATGAGCAAATATTGTCATTACAATCGCTCCACATACGTCCGTATCCATCACAGATGGGAGTGAACGAAGTCTCGCACTCCCGTCTGTGATACAAGGGTGGGCTTTGGCTTTGAGCGAAGCCCCGGTCTTTGGCTTTGAGCGAAGCCCCGGTCTTTGGAGCTTCGTCTGGGTATTCCGAGATCGGGGATGGCAAGTGCTTGCTTGCACTACTCGGGTGTGCTTGCATTACTAGGGTGTGCTTGCACTACTAGGGTGTGCTTGCACTACTAGGGTGTGCTTGCACTACTCGGGTGTGCTTGCACTACTCGGGTGTGCTTGCACTACTCGGGTGTGCTTGCACTACTCGGGTGTGCTTGCACTACTCGGGTGTGCTTGCACTACTCGGGTGTGCTTGCACTACTAGGGTGTGCTTGCACTACTAGGGTGTGCTTGCACTACTAGGGTGTGCTTGCACTACTAGGGTGTGCTTGCACTACTAGGGTGTGCTTGCACTACTCGGGTGTGCTTGCACTACTCGGGTGTGCTTGCACTACTCGGGTGTGCTTGCACTACTAGGGTGTGCTTGCACTACTAGGGTGTGCTTGCACTACTCGGGTGTGCTTGCACTACTAGGGTGTGCTTGCACTACTCGGGTGTGCTTGCACTACTAGGGTGTGCTTGCACTACTCGGGTGTGCTTGCACTACTAGGGTGTGCTTGCACTACTAGGGTGTGCTTGCACTACTCGGGTGTGCTTGCACTACTCGGGTGTGCTTGCACTACTAGGGTGTGCTTGCACTACTAGGGTGTGCTTGCACTACTAGGGTGTGCTTGCACTACTCGGGTGTGCTTGCACTACTAGGGTGTGCTTGCACTACTAGGGTGTGCTTGCACTACTCGGGTGTGCTTGCACTACTCGGGTGTGCTTGCACTACTAGGGTGTGCTTGCACTACTAGGGTGTGCTTGCACTACTCGGGTGTGCTTGCACTACTAGGGTGTGCTTGCGCTACTCGGGTGTGCTTGCACTACTCGGGTGTGCTTGCACTACTCGGGTGTGCTTGCACTACTAGGGTGTGCTTGCACTACTAGGGTGTGCTTGCACTACTCGGGTGTGCTTGCACTACTAGGGTGTGCTTGCACTACTAGGGTGTGCTTGCACTACTCGGGTGTGCTTGCACTACTAGGGTGTGCTTGCACTACTCGGGTGTGCTTGCACTACTCGGGTGTGCTTGCACTACTAGGGTGTGCTTGCACTACTCGGGTGTGCTTGCACTACTCGGGTGTGCTTGCACTACTAGGGTGTGCTTGCACTACTAGGGTGTGCTTGCACTACTCGGGTGTGCTTGCACTACTAGGGTGTGCTTGCACTACTCGGGTGTGCTTGCACTACTCGGGTGTGCTTGCATTACTAGGGTGTGCTTGCACTACTCGGGTGTGCTTGCACTACTAGGTGTGCTTGCACTACTCGGGTGTGCTTGCACTACTCGGGTGTGCTTGCACTACTAGGGTGTGCTTGCACTACTCGGGTGTGCTTGCACTACTAGGGTGTGCTTGCACTACTCGGGTGTGCTTGCACTACTAGGGTGTGCTTGCACTACTCGGGTGTGCTTGCACTACTCGGGTGTGCTTGCACTACTCGGGTGTGCTTGCACTACTAGGGTGTGCTTGCACTACTCGGGTGTGCTTGCACTACTCGGGTGTGCTTGCACTACTCGGGTGTGCTTGCACTACTAGGGTGTGCTTGCACTACTAGGGTGTGCTTGCACTACTAGGGTGTGCTTGCACTACTCGGGTGTGCTTGCACTACTCGGGTGTGCTTGCACTACTAGGGTGTGCTTGCACTACTCGGGTGTGCTTGCACTACTAGGGTGTGCTTGCACTACTCGGGTGTGCTTGCACTACTCGGGTGTGCTTGCACTACTAGGGTGTGCTTGCACTACTCGGGTGTGCTTGCACTACTCGGGTGTGCTTGCACTACTCGGGTGTGCTTGCACTACTAGGGTGTGCTTGCACTACTAGGGTGTGCTTGCACTACTCGGGTGTGCTTGCACTACTAGGGTGTGCTTGCACTACTCGGGTGTGCTTGCACTACTCGGGTGTGCTTGCACTACTAGGGTGTGCTTGCACTACTCGGGTGTGCTTGCACTACTAGGGTGTGCTTGCACTACTCGGGTGTTCTTGCACTACTCGGGTGTGCTTGCACTACTCGGGTGTGCTTGCACTACTAGGGTGTGCTTGCACTACTAGGGTGTGCTTGCACTACTCGGGTGTGCTTGCACTACTCGGGTGTGCTTGCACTACTAGGGTGTGCTTGCACTACTCGGGTGTGCTTGCACTACTAGGGTGTGCTTGCACTACTCGGGTGTGCTTGCACTACTCGGGTGTGCTTGCACTACTCGGGTGTGCTTGCACT